ACACAACCCTGCCTTAGCTCAGCTTCACCCCTGCCTTAGCTCAGCTTGAACCCAACCCTGCCTCAGCTCAGCTTCAACCCTCCCTTAGCTCAGCTTCAGCACAATCCTGCCTTAACTCAGCTTCAACACAACCCTGCCGTAGCTCAGCTTCAACCTTGCCTTAGCTCAGCTTCAACCCGGCCTGAACTCAGCTTGAACCCAACCCTGCCTTAGCTCAGCTTCAGCACAATCCTGCCTTAGCTCAGCCCCAACCCTGCCTAAGCTCAGACCGAACCCTGCCTTAGCTCAGCTTCAACCATGCCTTAGCTCAGCTTCAGCGCAACCCTGCCTTAGCTCAGCCCCAACCATGCCTGAGATCAGCCCCAACCCAGCCTTAGCTCAGCTTCAGCACAACCCTGCCTCAGCTCAGCCCCAACCATGCCTTAGATCAGCCCCAACCCAGCCTTAGCTCAGCTTCAACCCTGCCTTAGCACAGCTTCAGCACAACCCTGCCTTAGCTGAGCCCCAACCCTGCCTTAGCTCAGCTTCAACCATGCCTGAGCTCAGCCCCAACCCTGACATAACTCATCTTCAACCCAGCCTTAGCTCAGCTTCAGGACAACCCTGCCTCAGCTCAGCTTCACCCCTGCCTTAGCTCAGCGTCAACACAAAGCTGCCTTAGCTCAGCTTCAACGCTGCCTTAGCTCAGCTTCAACAGAACCCTGCCTTAGCCCAGCTTCAACACAACCCTGCCTTAGCTCAGCTTCACGCCTGCCTTAGCTCAGCTTCAACACAACCCTGCCTTAGCTCAGCTTCAACCCTGCCTTAGCTCAGCTTCAACAGAACCCTGCCTGAACTCAGCTTCAACCATGCCTTAGCTCAGCCCCAACCCGGCCTGAACTCAGCTTCAACCCAACCCTGCCTTAACTCAGCTTCAACCCTCCCTTAGCTCAGCTTCAACCCTGCCTTAGCTCAGGCCTAACCCTGCCTTAGCTCAGCTTCAGCACAACCCTGCCTGAGCTCAGCTTCACCCCTGCCTCAGCTCAGCGTCAACACAACCCTGCCTTAGCTCAGCTTCACCACAACCCTGCCTTAGCTCAGC